TGCGAGGCCGACTCGCGGTTTTTAAATAGGACCAATTTAAAATTATCTGGCATTGAAATACACCAACTATACAAGTGCAGATATGCAAATTGCGTTCCATTTAAGTAATCGCGCCAGCATGTCGGCTTTGAAACAATATACTAGATAACGGGAGATAAGGCTCAGTAGTCATGTTCACAGTAAAAATAGAAGCTTTTGTGTAATACAAATAGTAATTTATAGCTAAATTGAGATAACACTTCAATGCCATAAATGCTTGCAGAGCTTTCCCGCAGATGAGGAATTCCATTAAGACATTACGTACTTATGATATCTATGTATATTCTATAAAAAGCAACGAGTAATAATTATAGCATGAAAGCATCGATAATTGCGAAAAACATTTTATTAAAGCACTCGAGAGATTTTAAAAAATCTGTCGACTTTCAGATAAAAGAACGTGGTGGGATGACGTGTAATTTATTATATGTAGAATAAATGGATATCGAATTTTGGATAATTAGCTTCCTTTCAGAAAACAAAAGGTACATTTATAATAGAAAATCCTTCTTATTATTTTAGTAATTTATTAATACATATTATTATACGAATGCTGTGCTTATAATTATAATCAATTATAGGTAGATAATGAATATTTACCAATACTGAAGAAAAACAGAGAAATTAACACCAAAATTTTCAGAATTTTCAGAAATATACGAAATTTTCAGTATATTTTTTATTTATGTAATTTCTTAAATATGAAGCAGTTACATATAAAACAAATAATAATAATAAAAAAAAATATTTGATCAAAATCTAGATAATAAGCCAATTAGTATATTTTTAAATACTTTTACAAATTTATATATGTAGGTATTTATAAATAGATGCCTCCGATTTTATATATCAACTAGGCACTAACATAGGCAGTTGATATCTATCTAGAAAATAAAATAGAAATATTGAAACGCTTTTTTATAAAGAACATTTCATTTATTGTAATAATTCCTGTAATTAGCATTTAATCAGTTTATTACGTCATGAAAACGTCAACGTGACGCACTAGAATCCCTTTCCGTTTAAAGTGTTTAATTAATAATCGAGGCTTAGAAAACCCCACGCTTAAGAACTCAGCTAGAAACGTAGCACTAATGTTCCAATCGATGAGAAAACGAAAATAACAAAACAGAATGGGATAATGTAAAATCGCTTACCTTAACGTTACATGGAGGGTCCAGCTGTTTTCTACATAGTTTGCCCGCACTTTGAGAGGTATAGTTGAGTTGTTTAAGGGCGCGTAGTGCACATTACAGCGCGGAGGCTAGTGTGGCATGCGCGGCCGCCCACGCTCGATAACGTACCGCGCGCCGCCGCCGTACCGCCGCGCTTGCTCGCCGCCCGCCGCGCCGTATCGCCCGATCCCTAGACCACAGTTGCTACACTCTCAGTAACATCGCTTCTACTATACCTATAAGCATTAATTTTTGAATAACTTACATATATCACCATAAAATTTTAAACATAGTTTATAATTCTCTGTTACATTATAAACTATGTGTCTTCGTTATCTATACTAATATTAATTTCTATGACTAGTGACCGTCACAGATATAATAGACAAGGGGCCGCCAGCGACTTCGTCCGCGTTTTCCATTACTTATCCGCTCCTAATAGTTGCAGCGTGATGTTATATAGCCTAAAGCCTTCCTCAATAAATGGTCTATTCAACACAAAAATAATTTTTCAATTCGAACTAGTAGTTCCTGAGATTAGCGCGTTCAAACAAACAAACAAACTCTTCAGCTTTATAATATTAGTATAGATAAGTTAAGGTAGGTTATACAAATAGGGATGACGACTAATTTTTATTTGTTTGTACGTCAAGTAGAGTGTTGAGAAATATTAAACACGTATTTTTTTTATTTTTTTCCTAATCATAAAAGTACGGCGATACATGGAGTTGAAATTTCGCATGATGTCAGGTTATGGTACGTTTTCTACAAAACTGTGACGTAGCGAGCCCCTATTCCTCAACTTTAATGCCTGTTACCTAAGCTATTTCTCGTTAGTAAAAAAAATACACATCTAATATTTTACTATTATCTGACTGACGAACTAAATAGAATTGATTTTTTTTATCCAGTCATCAACCCTATTCTGTTGACTCTGAACTAAATAACAAAACTAATTGATTAATTAAATTTGGGTTTATTTTAATGTTATTCCCAAGACATGTGTAAACCTGTTTATTGTAGCATATTGTACTAAGTTGACTTCTGTTCTCTCTTACCTATTTACAGAATTGAAACTTTAAAACTTAATTTACTCTAGTTCATAAGTACTACTGAATAACTACAAATAATTATCATACTTATTGACTGACGATATTTATAAGTAACATTACAGTGACAAATACACGACCAGTTACATTTATTAGCTTATTGATAACATTTATTTTCCAAATAAGTACCGACAAATTACAACCCGCAAATATGTATTTTTCATAAGTTATTGTACTGTCGATTTTTATTAAACGAACCGCAGAAAGAATAATAGCAGCTAGGTAAGCCATACATTCTCTACAGTGAAATTGATGTAATGAAATCATAAAATGTTTTCTCTTTCAAGTCATTATGCAATACAGTTAATGTTAATTGATAACATGAAAATAATTTTATCAAAATAATAGCATAGCTAGGCATTTCATTACCCGGACTAACATTAAAGATACTTTTTATCTAACTAAAAAACTTTCTAGAAACACTTGTGTCTCATTAGGGCATAACATATCATCGTTTCGGTTTCAAGAACTGGTGGTATATATCTCACGACATCAAGTAATTTTAAATTCGAAGTAGTCCTTTTTTTTAGCCGTTATAAGCCTTATATACCCTATGCCGGAAGTTGGTAAATAGAAGATTTTTAATCAAACATAAATAGAACCTTGTTGATAGCTTTATTTATTAGACACATAGCAGTATATCAGGTTACTACAAAAGGCCAAATTTCTGAAATCAATTGAAACTTAATTATAATGGATTAAGGTAGGACATGCTGTCGCTATTTTAATGAACGCCAAAACTGTTTAATGTGAGCGTGGGTTGCTCTTCTTCTTCCGAAAACTTCTGAAAGCTAATTTGCCTAAATCTTTCTTCGTAAGTACTTTGGAAAACTTGGGATTGCAAAATGTTTACAATAACACTAAAACGCTTACGAAAACAGGGGATGAGATATAAAATCACTGGTATATCTTTATATTGCTAAAGGGAAATAAAAACTGGTTCGAGTTATAATATAAATAATTTATTATGAAAAAATCTATATAAACATGTTTATTTTTTTTATACAACATTTTAAGAAAAATACCTATTTGCCTGTATCTTCTTTCAAGGAAACAGTTCTGTTGAAAACGATCTGAAACAAACAATGATTACACAAATGAGAATCGATACTCCTTGCATCAAATCGTAAAAGTTATAGGTATATTATACATTCGAAAATACATGCAAAAATTTTAATGTACTAATTAACGACTCTCAGCCAGATGCACTAACTTTCATTTTCATTAGTTTAAAGCGACATTACCCATATACATTTGACATCCATTAGAGCTTAAACGTATCATTAAATCTTAATGGATGTTTGTGCAACTGTCTTAATATTTATAGTTTTAAATTAATATTAAGCCATTCAACTTTTGTACCTATATATATAGTGCTCAAGTCGCCGACAAAACCTTCCGTCTTGTCCCCGTTAGAGACAAGATATGCGCTATTGTGCGATAAGCCATATCGGCTGGTGGGATCCACTTAGGCCTCCTTCGATATGTCCCTCGGATCTACCCCTCGTGGATCCCTAATGCTATAGAAATGTATGTTAAACGGCCTTCTGCGAGATTAAATTTATACCAAAAATTTTGCCAGAACTGGTGGATCCAATATTGAACATCTATATATTTTTTATAATATTATTATATACATATTGTAATTTAGGACAAAGAAAAAAACATATTTACATATTTTCCGATTAACACCTCCTAGCCAAACTCTCTTAATTTAGAAGATATGTAAGTTCTAGTGTTATCATGATAAAAAACCCCTTCTATTGATTAATTATGGCCGCTTTCTCTCAGTTTCTTGCTTTAATCTCATTTAACTAAAGTATGTAGGTACCATTTTGTTCGATAACTTTTTGGCATCTTGTTAGTAGCGACATAGTCTCATTGCTATAGAAATTTTGGGGTTTCTGATCAAAAAACCGCGACAAGTGGTTTTGGAAGTCCTTGTGTGATGTTAATCTGATACTACTATCGTGTGATGTTAAGAATTGTGAAGAAACAGAAACAGGTGGAAATCCGAAGGTCAGGACTATACGGTAAATGCATTATCACCTCCCAGCCAAGGTTTGCTGAGTGGCAAAAGATGTGTCTAGCAAGTCTAGCTAGGTCTTATTATGATGAAAAACCAATACCGTCGTTGTATTGTATGCCCGGGCTAGACATAACTAAGAAACGGTAATATTACTCGTTCTTTAATTAAAAGTATTATGATAGTTATAATTTGCTAGCGTTCAAAATGTACATACAAATAATTTAGTAATCATATTTCCTGAAGTTTACAAATTAGCAAAAACCAACCTTGTCATTTTTACGATGATGTTTTACTGAATTAAGTATTAAAAAGAAATATAGGCACGTTGATTTAATTTATAAAAATTAAGGGATTGTTCATATTGACACCAAACGGTTATCAGCAGCTGACTGTTTACGTGAACAATGTTCAGTAGTATTTCGATAAAACAAAATTATTTTTTGGTAACTTATAAATAGGTGACCAAAAACTAGACTCATTAGAAGGTACTGAAACTATGGTGAAAATTGGTAGGTTTTTTCTATACAGGTACATGCTGCATACCCTACCCCAAATCTCTGTGCATGCCCCTGCTTTGACCACGACCTTTTTCGCACGTTCTTGTCGTGCGTGATCTGATTTTCATCACCAGTTATCAGCTTCTTGAAATTAAGTTCGGTTTCGTTGAATACACGGATCATTTTTTTCAGAGAGCTCGTGAGGTGCCCAAATATCCAACCCAGCTTTTCTCAAATACATCAAATCTGTTTTCTGGTCATTCCCTAGTTCTTCAGCTACGTCGTAACTACTGATATGCCGATCTTGCTCTACTTTTTTAAAAATGGCATCCATTTTATCGGTAACAGGGCGACCGGACTGACGTACATCTTTGAAAGCAAAATTTCCGGTCTGAAAATGTCACAAAATTTTCGGGGCTTGCGTTCCATTTTTACCTTTTTTATAATAAAATTTTAAAATGTATCGAATTTCTTCAATAGATGCACTCTTTCTGACAATAAGAAAAACAAATGAGAATCACACATGTTCGTAACTTTAGTAGTAGTAGTAATTTCGTCTATGGGTCAGGCGGTTCGTAACTTGAATTCGTAGTGCTCTTCTTTGAAATTTAAACTTTTGAATGATACCAAAATCAGCCAGAGACAAATGGCCAGAAAGATTTTATTACAAGTTTATGCATACTATATGCGAAAACACCTTTTCCCTAACCTAAATTTGTAATATTTTAACTAATTATATGAATGATATTTTTTTTTATATTAGTATCATAAACACATATAACACAAACAAATTTCGAAGAATTTCTCAGATTCGTAAAAATATAATACAATATTATAGGTTTATATCCCACTCCAGAAAGCCACCGTCTTTAATTAATGGTGCCATTAAGGGCGAGTAGTCAATTTAATTTATGGCCGCCGCCATAACACGGTTGAAGGTACTTTATTATTATACTGAGGTACTAAAGCATACCTATATATTCCCAAAGTCACGATTGCATCGTATGTTATGAAGTTTAATCTAAGCGCGACAAAGTTGCATTAATTTTTTACATTATATTCAGTATTCAATAGCGAAGAAAACAATATTTTTTCATTATATTAAGATCTGTCAGTGTGTACAGAATACAAAAACATGTAACGACGAAAGCCCAAATGTAATTACAGAATTTTGCGACCAACATAAAATTACCATTTTTTATTGGATAATGTCAATGTCGGCATGCGGCAAAGCAGAATTTCAATTTACGCACGTTTCAAGTTACATTACAACAATAGGTAATAAAGAACTAAAAATAATAATAAGGCCTTATAGGATCACACCATGTTTAATAGTATGAAATAATTATTCTCAATATTTTTTTTAGAATTAATAAAAAAAAATGATAACAATAGTGTATATTTAATATTTGTATGTATATGTTACTATATGTTACTTATTTAATCATAGAACAATCAATAAAGCATTATTAAAAGTTGTTTTAATAATTTAAACAGCAATTTTGATATCTACAGCATTATAGTTTTCTATCTATTCAACTTATTATTACAGTTTTCTATAAATATCTAGTAGCTCGGATAAGCGCCACGGCCCGCGATTATTGTTGTTAAGACACTTTCGCAAGGATCTGTCACGGGACGCGTAACCAAAAAATGATTATCTCGACCTACTTCATGCTTCTGGAGGCACGTTAAGCCGTTAGTCCCGGCTGCATTTACAGTCATGGGTTATCCTCCTTAATCATCCATAAGGAAGGCCTGAGCCCCCGCAGTTGGGAACTAAAAGGGCTGATCATGATGATGACGACCTACTCAACATTGTTCATTATGCAACTGAATATACTTACATGATTAGCAGTAGTGTCGGGGTCAACGGAAAAAAATCCGATTCTCTCAAATTGGAATTTGTCGTACACCTTTGCTCCAACGATGGAAGCGTCAGCGAGTCCTGACACAACCCGTAGCGTATCTGTCCGGCAATCAGATAAAAATCCACCAGGGACTTCATTCGGATCTTCCGGGTTTTTATGTTTGAACCTAGACAAAATAAACTTTACATCAACCATTTAAAAAAGGAGTATAATTTTTTATTACATTACTGTTTTCCCGCGACTTTACCCGTACCTTTCTGTAGGTGAATGGTTTTTTAAAATCTATTTATTAGTTTCGGAACCTTTGGGAGAGAGGAGAGTTTAGAGGTCAAGGTGGAATAGTGCCTTAAATTGGTTAAACGTACTGAAATACAATTCTTTATGTCATCTGAAATAGTAACAGATTGGCAGTCCATCATTTACTTCATCATTGTTAAACAAACGATAAATCTCGAGTGTCACGACCTCCGCAGATGAGTAGCTGTCTCGAGTTCAATTCCTCGACTTGAAACAATAGTTGAAAATCAAATTTTTAGTACCGTCCTAACTTTGGATGAACGTGGTGCGGTCATTGTCAGGGAAGCGCATTATCTACTTATGTTAGGAATGTAGCTAAGACCTATGTATTGTGGAATTCAGATGTATGTAATTTTGTATTATACCTCAAAATTAAACTTACAATGGTTCGTACAGGCGTACTTCAACTTCAGTTGGTTCAGAGACCCAGTGAATGAAAGCTTTCGGCTTGTCCGCGAACTCTGTAGCTTCAACTGAGCAAACTACCTCGATGATACCACCAAAATCGTCTTTAACAACTTTGGATACCTAAAAAGTGTTATTGAAATTATTTTAAATATCAATTTAAGCATCTTTGAAGGTCGGTGCATATTTGACGGAAGATTCGTCGTGTCAATTTAAATCAGGGATTCCCAAACTTATTTCGTTTACTGCCCACTTTGAGAATAATTTTTTTTAAGCGCCCCCATTTGTCACCTACTTAATAACCACTATAACTTCAAATTATATTAATTATTGGAAGATGTATAAGTGGAAATTATAATTAATTCTTAACAAGACTTTAAACGGAGTGACCGATTGACATGAAATTCATTTTATTTATTCAATAAAACAGGACATATATGCATATATAAATTAAACGAAGAGAAACAACCGAGTAATTAAGAGCAATCTTTCAATTAATATTATAAGTTGATGTTCACAACTAGTAGTCGATAGTAGAAGGCTCAGTCAGTGTCGTCCTCATAAATGAAATTACAAATCGTCCCCCTTTAGGCCTGCAGCGCCCACAAGAAGGCGTCATTGCCCACTTTGGCAAGGGCTGATTTATATGATAAAAGTCTACCTTGCACACTCGACGGAAATTCCGTTGCGTAGTAACGCATACTTTCGTGAAACGCTTAACAGATCTTCGGTCACATGTCACCGACTCAATTGATTGTTACAAACAACCTATATAAGTATATTTATTTTAAATGTTTAAAGCCCTTACACGTTACACGTTAATATAATGGCAATAAAAACTTAGCCGAAGTAAATTTAGCCGCCCCTCCTAATTAGGCATTACTTAGGTATTTTATATAACTATACATTATAATCAATAATTTTAAAGAATTTTTTGGCAAAAACTGTCATCATTATTTTGCATTATACAGGTTAGATTTAGTGTGGTTTAGTTGTTGCCCACAGAACAGTGTTGTGGGTTCGATCCTTACAAAGGACAATTCTTCGTATAATTTACAAATAATTGTTCTCAGTCAGTATGTATTATGTCCCTCGCCACACAGGACTTGTATCCTAAAAAGATGTCTTGTCTAAAAAAAAGATATAAAAAAATAGTTATGAAATAATCAACTGATCCATGAATAAAAGTTTCTTTGAATGGTCAAAGCATCAAATACTTTCTTAAAGGGACGTAATAAACAATATTGAACTTAATCTATAGTCGTAACAATATAATAGTATTCTTTACACGTTAATAGTATTTACAGACAGAGTACAAATTTTTTCAGTGACATCAAATTATGTAAGAAACAGTTTGAAATTTTTATGCAGTCACGATATTCATTAACATTATCTTTCATGCAGCAACATGTCAGAAAGGCGTTAAAGCAAAATCAACTCTCTGCGCTGTAAGGATTTTCAAATTAATATCGTGGATGTATGGTGGTGTATCTCAAAAAGTGGATATTAACATGGATAAGACAAAAATCACGTAAATGGTCATTTTGTACCCACACGAGTTCAAATATGAGATATTATAATAGCTTATCGATCATTTGCGTAACTAAGACAGACAGTCTATCCCGCAGGAGGCAATAGAAACTGTACACCTACGAGAAAAGAGTACGTACGAGGCTTGAGGGGTAGCCATGGGGAAGGCTTAAGGAATACCTGAAGCAGGGTCGCTTAACAGGCCCTGTATATCTCTTTTACTCGTGCACAAACATTTTGTTATTACGTTCGCACAGATGCATCTAGCCAATTTTGTCATAGTAAAGCGAACCTAAAATGTTTACGATATGTATTAGTAGGCAAAAAAGTCACTGTACGAAATTCTTTCTGTTCGCCGACCCTGCGCTTAATTCGACAAAAATTGGATGATTTTGTTTATACAGATAACACAACATACCTTTAGAACATATCCAGCATGTCGCAATCCTACAGACTGAGTTGGCGTCAAACGGCGGTACCCTTTCTCTGGCGACTCCTTAAAGTCCGTGGATTCGATATAAAGCACTTTATTTAGAACTACCTTGTGAGATCCCTTCTCAGGCTCGTTAGGGAAATCGGGAACATTTATAGTGATTGGTTTTTCACATGGGAAGTTCTTTATCGTTATTTTCAGAGGCTCCAATACTACCATAACCCTGTGTGAAAAATTGTAATACTATAAACCATCATGTAAATACGAGTTGAATGAATGAATAATTATATTAATTGGGGGTACAATTAATATAATTAACACGATTTTGCGATTTTTCTCGTTGAAGCAGATATAGAAGCTTGTTATAAAAATATACATTAAAACACTTTTCTTTAAGTCTTACAGCCAGTTGCACAAATGTCCATTAAAATTGTCTTTAGTTTAAAGCGACATTATCTATACCAATTTGACATTAAACCTTAATAGACGTTTGTGCATCAGACCGTTAGTTTCTTAGAAACTAATATCGAAGTTGACAAATAAAATAAAGATTCTTATTATGGCCAAAACATAAAAAATATAGCCCCTTATTCCAGTTCTATAGTCAATAATAGAATATTTCAAGCTTGAAATGTATTTTTGCAACAAACTGTATAAGTATTATATTTATTTAATAGACGCCATCGCACACCTAGAGCCAAAGGGAACTAACTAAAAAATCTCAACTATGCACACCATGTTAATCCTTATTCCAACACAAACTATAAAACAGATTTCAAATAACTCAACTACTCAACGTTGTATGGGTCTATAATGGGGAATTATTTTGGATTATACCCACATTTTTTAAATTTGAAAATGTATTATTCTTTGCAATATTTTAAGCAATAAATGATTAACTGATTTGCGCAGTTGCTGCTATTTTATTGGTTTTTGATGGGGTTTTATTCCTGTATAATACAGGATAACGAAGCCGTTGGCGGAAAGCTAGTATGGGGATAAACCAAAGGGTAAATCAACCGACTTGGAATTACCATTTGCCAGGATAAAGTATACGCCATTTTAGAATGTTAAGAAGTTAATCGTCAATGAACCTAGAGAAATAAGACCATGTTTATTATCTGACAGACAAACAGCGTTCAATGTTATACAATTGAATATGATAAATTCAAGATTGGTAAAAAACTGTAATATGATAAACAAGCTAGCTAATTAGCTTAAATGAGTTTAAATGACTACCTCGGACATCGTATGTAGTTAAAAAGCATACAAATTAGCAAGGACTGGAGCATAGGGATAACAGATTGGAGTTACGTCCAGAACTCTTTAGCAATATTCCGAACAACCATGCGATGAAAATCTTAAAGACGCGATTAAAAAAGACTGGCACTACCGGTCGGGCTCAAATCACGATTTTCTAATCGAAGGCCGTTGTTAAAAACTATATGTTGTGGTCTGAAATTATGTGACATTGACATTTATCTGTGTAAATGTGGACCCCTGATCCAAAGACTGCAAACTAAGTGTTAATCTACAATAATAATAAACCTGTATCGCTGGCAGGGTGAAAGTGTAGAAACCAAAATGGGATCAATGAAGAACAATAAAACAAGTGTTGTAAGGTAATAACGAAAATCTTTCTTTTAACTTTAATTATTTTTTTTAAGTGCTCACAAAAATAATAGTCAGTTCCACCTTTCTCAACGTTTTATTTTAGTTACACCTGTTTAGATCTAGGTGTATGATAACAAAATCATCTGATAATTAAATTAAGGAAATTCTATCTCAGTTTACATTTGGAACACTCATACGTATTACAAGACGTTTATGTAAGTCTTTTCCCTAAAGCAAATAAAGCTCTTCCATATGTAAAGATAGACAATAACCTGGGTGCGGTGACATTAAGCGCGTCTCGGACGGCGGCGTCCAGCATGGTGGGGTCCACAGCACCCAGGGCTCCAGTCACGCCCAAACTAGCACAGAAGCTGTTTATGGCACTAGAAGGAACACCTCGTCGACGCAGCGCAGTCAACGTATATAGACGAGGATCATCCCAATCTGAATATTTCCAAATTTTAAATCGGATTAGAAAACAGGTTACCAGTAAGCATAAACGTCCTGTGGTCAGAAAGAGCCAGAAGATCATGGTAATCTATATCTCAATACTGCATAACCAATAACGGTTGTGAGAAACTCGAAGATGCGTAACGTTTATTATGCCTCTGCGAGTAGAGAGAGACGGATGGGATACAGCAGCCATCTCCTGGCTATTCTGCTCCATGGGATTATAATGGTTTCATTTGATTTGGCTACAAATAGATGACCTAAGTATTTGAATTTGATGACTTTATATTTTAAGAATAAAAATATTTTGATGTTTTAACTCACAATGAACACAATAAAAATATTTTCAGTTATCAATGCTCGAGAATTTCTGTTTTCAACAGTATAATATAAAAAAAATATTATACTGTTTCTAGCAGATGCTCAATAGCATCAATAGTAGTTCAGAATTGTGATAAGTATTCTGATTTTAGAAATGGTAAGAAAAATATTGTAATTACCATTAACAATGCCTTCAGTAATGAGCTTTGCAATTTTCCTTTTAGAGACCACAGTGTAGTTTACATTAAGTCTCCCATATTCCCATTGCACAGGACAGTAGATGCCGAGCGCATTACATAACCAGTAGTATGAAGATCTGAAAATAAAAGGAAAATTAAATGGAACTCTAAAAAATAAACTGTTTAAAAATAACTATCGATTTCAAAACTACCTTCGTGATTGGAACTCTTTTGTACACAAAGAGTGGGTAATATGTTCAATACTGTCACACAGACAATGGGTGTAATCATAAGTAGGATATATACACCATTTGTTTCCAGTGCGGTGATGTGGCTTAAACTTTATTCTGTAAGCCACAGGATCTTGTTTACCTTCTTCCAAAGTGATCTTCATTCTCAAAGTGGCATCACCTTCATCAATTTTACCATTTTTCATGTCCTAAAAGTAATTATGTAAAATATAGTATACAAAAATAATAAATTCAAATATATCTACAAATGCAGTTATTAACATCCAATCTGCACCAGTCTGCACTATTTAAGCAGATAAATATTAAACTAGTTTTGTGCCAGCAGATTCTCCTGCTTGGATTACTTCATGAGTTGACAGTTCATTTATACTCAGGGAACTGTTTAGTTTAGGATAAAAAGATAAAGCCTATATGTTAATTCAGGGTTAGTATTATCTGATACCACATCAATATCAATTCAGTAGTTTTTGTGTGAAAGAGTAACAAACATACATCCATACCCACAAACTGTCGTGTTTATAATATGAGTAAGATACTTCTCACTGGAACTTTGGTCTTCTTTTTTAAAACTACAGAGAACCATATAATTAAAAACCATTTGTAGTTATAGAATGTTTTAAATGAAACTTGCCCTATTTTTTTTTATATTACTTTTTGTAAGTATTTACTTACGTAATCAGGGAGCCAGTTAGTTAAGATAAACTAAACTATAGACATATAAAATTAATAACGTTTCTTTTTTTTTTTGTAAAAGTAGATTTATTGTGGACAGTATAAAAGGAGTTGATAATGAAGCTGGGCAAATAATTAGAAACGATACTCTTAAGCTGTTGGTAAAATGTTTAAAATAAAATACAGAGTAAATGTATTGTTATAAAAAAATGTACATCATCATCATCATGATCATCATCAGCCCTTTTATGTCCCCACTGCAGGGGCTCAGGGCTTCCTTATGGATGGTTAAGGAGGATGGGCCATGACCCTCCACGCTGGCCCAATGCGGATTGGAGGGTATTAACGACTGCAAATGCAGCCGGGACCAACGGCTTAACGTGTCTTCCGAAGCACGGAGTAGCTCGAGATAATAATTTTTTGGTCACCCATCCCGTGACCGACCCCTGCGAAAGTTGCTTAACGACAACGATCGCGGGCCGCGGCGCTTAACCACTACGCCACCGAGCTACTCCGAGCTAAAAATGTACACCCAAAAATAAATTAAACATATTTTAAACTAAAATTAATATTTGGTTGCATGTCCACTACTCTTAATAACTGCTTTACACCAACGAGGCATTGACTCTTTTAATTTTTGACATTTTGCTTGTGAAATAGACTTCTTCTGAGAAAACGTCGTATAGTTCCCTCAAACTACCATAAAGTTGATTTGCTACCTTTTTTTTAACTGCATGCTAAAGATGTTCTATTGGGTTTAAATCAGGGTTGTTAGCTGGCCAGTCTAAGATGGATACGGATTGAGAGTGAAATTCTTTTACTGGGTGTTCATTTGGATGGAAAGTGCGTGCAGAGATCGCAGAGGGGTTTCCTTCACCAAAATATTCCTTTCGTATCTCATTAGACCCTTTGAAAGGATTTAATATCGCAAACAAATGATATTTCTGTTGTCTCGAAGTGATGTTTTTCTCGGTTGTGGCATGCGTGGAATATTTAAAGTACTATAAGTTTTAAAATGTTTTATAGCTTTGAAAATCGTGTTTTTTGAACATTGTAGATGGTCAGCAATTTTTTTTTTATATGACCAATTCTTACCATACCATATATGACCAGCCAGTATGAAGTAATTCTTAGATTAGATTTTATGTTTATGTTTGATGATTTTATGTTTGCTTAATTTATACTTTTTTTTATTTGTGGTTTATTAAATCTAATTTATAGAAGAAAGTACCAACAATGTAGAAAGATTTTGGAGTACCACAATAATAAAAATAATAATACATGCAACAAGCTATATGTTTTTTTATGTAAATGTACTATTACTACTGCATCTTTGAGACTATATGGAAATATTTAAGTAAATATTACCTCAAACAGTTGCATACTTTCTTCAATTGGCCTATTTCTCCATGGTGAAGGTGGAGGGTTAAATCCTTTAATTTCTTCTGACTTTTGATGGCAAACATATGCTAGATCTTTTTTTATCAACTGCACTGCCCACTCATACAGTTGATCAAAATAATCAGACGAGTGAGTTATTTTGTATGGTTTGTAACCTAAAAATATATCTATTAAATATGGGACACTTGCTGATTGTCTTAATAATATGTAAGTGATTTAAATCATTCTTACCAAGCCACTCTACCATGTCTTTAATGCCAATGAAAAATTTCTCTTCTTCTTTTTCTGGATTGGTATCATCATACCTCAAAAAGCAAATACCATCATGAGCAGCAGCATATCCAAAATTTATATTGATAGCCTTAGCATGACCTATGTGAAGAATACCATTAGGCTCTGGTGGAAACCTGGTGCGAACTTTGCCTGATGTAATTTTTAAATGTTCTTCAAGTAATCTTTTAGTGTCAGGAGTAACTATATAACCATCAGATTTGTAGTTCTCCCCGGGAGTATGAAAGGGTAATTTTCGCATCAACTCTGCAATTGATGTAGCTCCTCCAACATCACTTGTTTCTTCAGTCTTTCCAGATTTTGACACTAAAATCAGAAAAAATATATATTGGTGAAAAGTGTAAATTATCTAATGTATACCAGTAGACATTATATAAAATCTGTTTCATATAACTGTAAATAAAAATACTGCAGTGGTTAACCTTGCTTGTCTTCTTTTTTAGGCTTTTTACTAACATCACCACTTTTTGACTTTTTTTCTGGCTTAGGAAGAGGTGCAAGGTCTGCCTCAGTTTTTGGGCCTAGAAGATCTAGGATCTGAAATGGCAATAAAATATGAGATCAATCTTAAGGCACAACAGCATACCTGATGATTGGCTTATGATACATGATATATGTCTAATTTTTTATGACAATTCCAAATCTGTAACTAAAATTTTTGTATAAGCTCTTGTTTAAAAAATATAACACATGGGTGTTTTTATAATAAAATACTACATTTTTAAAGATAGTCCCATTTTATTTAGTTCTTAAGTTGGAAAAAACTTCCTTTTATTTGATTTTCTTTTTGAAGGTGATGGCAGAGAGCTGTTCTGAATGCTCCAACAATAGTCAGCCATCATGTGTGCGTTCCAGTAGCCTTGATAGCGTTCTTCCATCGTACGAATGTCCTGGTGGAATCGCTCACCCTGCTCTTCACTTAGATCCCCAAGATTGGCGGGAAAATAGTCCAGGTGGTTGTGGAGAAAGTGTAACTTGATGCTCATGTTACATCCAAGCCTTTGAAAGTGACTCATTAGTTGGTCAACATGTTGAGAATAGTCAGAACTTTTATAATTTCCCAAAAAATTTTGAACAAGCCAGACAAACTCATTCCATGCATTTTTCTCATTCTCTGTCATGTTGTCCGTAAAATTCGAGTCTTTTATTAGTGATCGTATCTGTGGACCGTCAAAAATGCCCGCCTTTATCTTTTCTGCACTCACTTTTGGGAACTTTTTTGATAGGAAAAGGAAACAATTTCCATTTTTGTCAAGGCTTTTTACAAATTGTTTTATTAGTCCTAGTTTTTATATGTAAGGGAGGCAAAATTATACGATCCCTTGATACTAAAGGTGGGTTTATCACATTCTGTTGACCGAGTACTAGCGCGTCTCGAGTAGGCCAATCTTTTTTAATCCAATGTTGAGTTTTAGCTCTACTATCCCACAAGCAAAGAAAACAGGGATACTTTGTGTATCCACTTTGTTGGCCTAAAAGGAAGTTTACCATTTTTAAATCAACACATATGAGCCAGTTGTGTTCTACATATTTAATTTTGTCCAAAATCAGAGCAATTGTTGTATATTCCTCTTTTCTTTTTGTAGAATGCGCAATAGGCAGCGACCCAAATTTATTCCCATTGTGTAAAAGAACGCATTTTAGACTCTGTTTTGATGAGTCTATGAATAAACGCCACTCACTAGAAACGTAATTTTGTAATGCCATTGCAGCCATTAATCCAGGTACATCTTTGCAAAATACGAAGTCATCTTCTTCAGCAAAATATTTGAGGAGATTTTGTTCTCTTGTGCGGTAATAAGAAATTTTAGTTTCTTTCTTTTAGCCTAGACGCCAAAAGCTCTGAAGCAGACTTTGACAGTCCCAAATCTCTGATAAGGTCGCTTAATTCATCTTGGTTGAATGGTTTTGGTGTATCCAGGTCACATTCAAACTCACTCTCACTACTGTGTGTATTTGCCTCTAAATGCACAAGCTCATCCTGTGGTGCACCAGCTTGAGGTTCAGGGGATATGTTAGGGCTCAAAACACGTCTATATGCCGACCGTATGCAAGGATATTCCCACTTAGCTCGATTTTTTCGGTTAATGCCAGTAATGTTCACCAAACAAAAATAACAGTCGTCGTGGTGGTTCATGGGTTCTTTCCATACCATAGCGGTTTGGTACCTAAATTTATTCCTTTTCTTATTTGTCCACAAACGTAGAAACTCAACGCACGTTTTGCATACCTTTTGCGGAATCCAAGGCTTATCTTTCATTTCCAGTGGGTGACCAAAGTAATTTTTGTAAGCCTCATTTACGAAGGCTGTCACATTTAAACGGCATTCTTTAAACATATACTCTCCGCAAATGAAACAAAAATGGTTTGGATCATTTACACAAACTCGACTTGACGATGCCATATCAAATTATATTAAGAAAACTTCTTTTTATTTAAATTATCAGCAAAATAACATAAGAGAACAGTCAGTTTCGAGTGAAAGCTGTAACTCGTAAACAAGAGCTGTAGCAAAAAAAATGAGGGTATATTTAGAATCAGCGGGGTCAAATTAGTAAACATCATATGATAAAAGTCATTCATCAGAAAAAAGATTCAATTTTGTGAATGCTTATAGAAAATTATGCATTGAAACAATAATTTAAAAAAAATGTATATCGATTATTAATTCAAAATCATTCGTTCAACTGTTGATAATGGCAACACCATATTTCTGAGAACAGTATAAAAGACGTTAGTAGGAGGTAGTCCGATATACTTTTTCGCCGACATTCGACGTGGTCGGAACGCTGTAATTCAAATCGCACATTCGATTACAGTTAGTTTGATTCTGTTAGTCAGAGCTGGAGCGGTAACGCTGTAATTATTCTGTGATGTTGTAAGTGTAGAAGAATAAACATTATTACCGAGTGAAAGTGAGTTTAATTTAACAGTCAGAAGTGGGATGTGCAGTGATCTACGTGCCTGTGGCTGCGGTCTCCTGGATCTTCGATGCGTAAGGTCAGAATGTGAATCTAATTATTTTTATGTGTACTGTGATTTACAAAAGATAATAAATAAGACTGCGTTCTTTGAACAACACTAGCAACCAAATAAATAAACTAACAGTGTAATAAATAATCTAAGTGATTTAAGCATTTAAAGTGATTTAAGTGAATAATCGTTTAGGATAATAAACTAAAAACCTTTGTTTGATCATTTTGAACTCTACCCACAATATTTTAGATGAACTATAGAGTATCGGCTTTATTTTTCGTATTTAAACATAACTGTAAGGAGTCTGTACACTTTTGTTATGAAATAACGTTGTTATATTTGTACTTCCATATTTTTCTGTACTTACCTTGAATCATTTGCTCTTGGCATCAATAGTAGCCATTATGGGGAAAAGTAAGCGAAAACGGCGGGATCCAAGCGTGGATTCTTCTTCTTTTTCTTCAGAGTCTAGTGACAGTGTCGATTATGAAAGTAGGTCGGGTCGTAATAAAAAGAGACATAGCCTCAATTCACAAAAACGTAACAAACGTAGTGACCGACAAGCTCGCCGACGTCGAAAACATAATATGTCACCCAATAGGAATAACCGAGAATTAACTAAAACTCCCCCGTTGAGATCTTCGATTCAAACGGGTAGTCCAGTCCCAGTGATGAGTCAACCTTACATGGCTTCATCAAACAATAACTGTATCTCAAATAACACTATCTTACACCCAAATTTTTGGGCGCAAAACAATTTTCCAGTTGCATTTAGTGTCGTCCCAGAATTTGACCCAAGTGATAATAGTCAGACAATCGAAAATTGGATTAATAAGGTTAACGAATGTGCGCAAATTTACTCTTGGAATGAACGACAAATATGTCACTATGCTCTTCCCAAATTAAATGGTTTAGCCAAAAAATGGTATCAGGGTCTACCCTCAGTTTTGTATAATTGGAATGACTGGACACAAAAATTAAAACAAGCTTTTCCGTCAAATGAAAATTATGGAGATATGCTAACAACAATGTTAAAATTTAGATGTAGGTTTGGGCAATCTTTAGAACACTATTACTACGATAAAATAGCACTTATAAATAAATGTGAAATAAGTGGCAAAAAGGCAGTAGGTTGTCTTATACATGGTATTGATGACAAGTTTGTAAGAATGGGAGCAAGTTCCTGTATGTTTAATGAACCAGAACAAGTTCTTAATTACTTGCGTACAGTGTCTCAGCATGATAGTAATGCGCAGTCTATCAATAATCGCAACCGGAGTACCACCCTAAATAAACACCCAAATAAGACAACAAATGAATTTGGTAGGGTGAATAATAGCCTAGATACCATTAGATGTTTTAATTGTAATGAAATGGGACACATAAGCTTAAAGTGCAATAAACCAATAAGGAAGTGCAGCTTTTGTTTTAAATTAGGCCATGATACTAAAGACTGTCGAAAAAGGAATAGCAACAACACTGACGATCAGGTTAAAAATAGTTTGAGTGATCAAACTAAAAGCGTCATGTGTGTTACTAATGGTGAGTCCGATAACGCTAAATTCTATAAAGATGTCAAAGTAGGGGACATTATGTTCAGGGGATACATTGATCTAGGTAGCAAATGTACTCTCATTCGTCAAACTGACGCAAAACTTTTACAAAGTAGTTGGGCTACTGATAATGTACCAATTCTGCAGGGTTTTGGTAAATCTTCAGTAAAACCTTTAGGTAAATTTCTAGGCACATTACAAATAGGCCCTGTCACAGCCGAGACGGAACTTTTAGTAGTAGAAGACTGTTATTTAAATACTTCTATTTTGGTCGGGCAATCATTTACTGAGAAGCCGAATGTGATTATTTTGAAAACTGATAATGAATTAGTTTTTATGCAAACGCCTGATGTAAATGAAACCAACGGAAAAACAAAAATTTACGCCGGCGATGATTATGTTGTTAAACCAAAAACTACTATGCCTATCAATGTCACTACAGAATATAATTACTCAGGGGAACTATTTATTCGTTATGACCATCGAGCAGTACCTAATAATGAATATATTATTCTATCGGGTCTTTTTCAGTTTAATAAAGGTAAAGGATATATAATGGTTACGAATATGTCTATTAATGATTTGAAAATTGCGAAAGGGTCTTTATTAGTTCGGGGCCAGCAATATCAAGAAATAAGGACTGAGTATATAGGCAAAATTACAGATACTAACGAGTATGAACCCCTACCATTAGCAGATGTGAATATTAGCGCAAAAGTGACTGATGAACAAAGACAAAGATTGTTTAGCTTATTTGAAAAATATAGAGACTGTTTTGCAATGAATTTAGGAGAACTAGGTAGAACAAATTTAACCGAAATGGAAATTACTTTAACTGATAATAGACCTGTAGTATACAGCCCATATAGGATTTCTCAAAATGAACGTAAACACCTTAATGTAATTATAGAGGACTTATTGACTAATGGTATAATCCGAGAAAGCACTTCCAATTATTCGAGTCCTGTTATCCTGGTTAGTAAAAAGAACGGCGATAAACGCTTATGCATTGATTATAGAGCATTAAATAGAAAAACACTAAAAGATAAATACCCGCTTCCTCGTATTGAGGATCAACTAGATAGGCTAGGTGGTAATAAGTTCTTCACAAGTCTTGATCTCACCTCTGGGTACTACCAAGTACCAATGCAGGAAAACAGTAAACGGTTCACAGCATTTGCAACACCTGACGGTCTATTTGAATTTGAAAGAATGCCTTTTGGTCTTGCAAATGCACCAAGCGTTTTTCAAAGAACAATTAATTCCATGCTTAAAAGCACGAAAAACTTAGCGATAGCTTATATGGACGACCTATTAGTGACGTCACAGACAGTAGAAGACGGTCTAGATAAGCTTGAAAGAGTCTTTCAACTGCTAAGATCTTCCCAGCTTAAATTAAACTTAAAAAAGTGCGATTTCTTTCAGACGCGCATTAACTATTTGGGTTACGAGATCGGTGCAGATGGTATTCGGCCTGGGTTAGCTAAAATTCAAGCAGTAGTCGATTTTCCTATACCTAAAAATGTTCATGAGGTCCGACAGTTTGTTGGCCTCACAAGCTATTTCAGACGGTTCATCCAAAATTATTCAAT